CTTGGCAAAGCACAGGTTGCTAAGCCTCACCCTCAAAGTTTCTAATTTAGTGGTCTTGGCTGGGGTTTGAGGATCCTTAGAAGTATCCATGCTGATATTGCTATCATTGATCACACTTTGAGAACCAAGGTGCTTACAACTACTCTTGGCCAGTATGGGAGACACTCATCATGTGGTGTCTGTTTAAACTGAATTTAAATGAAAAGTAAATGGCATTTAACCACCAGTTCAATGGCCACTGTACTGGACAGCACAGATTGAAAACATTTCCGTGGTGGCAGAAAGTTCTGTTGGATGCACTGCTAAGGTAGACTTCCTTTTTGTTTTTACTTTTCTTTTTCCTCCAGCGTTATAGCCTCATGTTTATATATCTGGTCTACCTGGAGCTTCACTTTTCATAAGCATGATAGATACCCAAATTTTATTTTGTTTGATAGTTAGTTTTCTATTTAAAATTCAGTTCTTTCCTCAGAAATTTGATTCTGTTATCACATGAAGTAATAGGCAGCTACAGTTTTATAAGGATCTAAACCAAAATGTAAGCATGCCTTAAACATAATTTGTGTCATGCTTAGATTTTTAGCATTTTTTAAAATTAGCCTATTACATACTACATATTTATTTTGTATTAACCACATATTTGTCATCAGTTGACAGTTTTCAACAAATATAAATATGATGTGAACTTTTGAAATTCTGAGATCTTTACTTTAACTAAAAGGACAATTATCTAATCCTCGTCATTTTTTAAAGTCCACTTATTTCCAATAGGTGGCGCTGTGCTCCACATAAAATGCTCCTGGGTTCCTTAGCTGACCCAACCTGTGCTAAGTCAGAATTTCAGGTGGTTCTGGACAGGCAAATCAACTCACAAGTCAACATGTCTCTGGGTCATTTTTACAGCACAAGCTCAGAGAGTGAGGTGACTTGTTGGAAGTCACATAGCAAATTATCAAGCAAATTATAACTTCAGTTGGAACGTCAAGCTTCAAGCTCTATTTTTGTGTTTTCATTCATGACATCCTCAGGTTTGCTCAAATCAAAACAAAGTCCATTTATGGTGGAGAGAAATAACCTCCACTGCTATAAATGGTGGTTTTCTCCTTCCTCCCTCTTAATGTTAACCTTTTATCAAGTTTACCAAATTGAAAGTTGTACTTAAAAATATATCCCAAGCAGGAAAAAAGAATTAACATTTACTCAGTGATGAATCACATGCTGAGCAAAACATGACTCTAAGGATTGTTTTAAAAATGTTCTTATTAGTACATGTTTGCATCACATCATGATTATATTTATTGTATCTACATTTTCCCTTACTCTGTAGTGTCTGTAACAGTTTAGGCTGTCAGCTTATTTTCATTAAAAATTAACTTTGCCTAGTACTAGCAGGACTTTCTGAGAAAGACAGACTTTGGCCAGCTTGCCTATAACAGCCATGTCCTTTCATAGTCACTTTTAATAAGGGAAGAGCTGCTTTGGTGAAAATCATAAATTTAGACGCACGTACTTTAAATCACAAACACTTAATATAAAAAATTAGTCATAGTATCTACAAGTCATCCTTAGATGATCAAACTATCAAGAACAAAGTTCTCAAATTCTGTAGTAAAAACACTAGTAACAACAAATACATTTTACTCTCTGAAAAACTCTTCAGCCCTAAAAACAATAAAAATTGGGGGCATTACATTCAGGGCATTCCTGTCCTGCTGTCTGTGTAGAGAAAACATATGTTCTTAAAAGATTCTTGAAAAGCAATGAGGATCATTCCAAATATCACCTCAAAGTATACCATTTCAGTTGCTTTTCCTAACTATATATAAGGGCTTAGGGAGTTAATATTTACTTTAATGAACTAATTAAATGCCTACAGCATTGCTAGAAAATGTGTTAGGTATTATTAAAAAAAAACAATAGCGTCTGCCATGGCTCTCGTGGTTTACTCAAGAAGAAAAGACGTACATATAAATTATAGCATAGGAGAACATTCAATAACCATAGTATAAGAAATCAGGAAAGAAAAAGTTGAAAGGAGGCCAAAGGAAATAGTTACTTCTGGGGACCTTGGGGAGCCTTTATATAGAAAGTGCCATTTGAGTTATATAAATTAATGGGAGAAAACACAGGTGATAAATTCTGCCAGGTTAAAAAAAAGCATGGAAGTGAAAAATATAGAGTATATTTAAGAGAACAAAGAATCATAAGCTTAGAACACACAAAGGAGAGCAGCAAAGGAAAAGCCTACTTAATTTCAGAGAAGAAAATCACATGTCACAATCTCCATAATCAGTAGTTCGGACTTCCTTAGTTTGGTATTGAGTTGCCATCCCTTGCAGTCTTTTATCAAAGGCAGTGCCACAAACTGAGAGGCGCTTTAGTCAAATTAGTCCGTGGGTGCAGGGAAAATCAGAAGACTCCTGGATGAAGGAAAGCAGCCCTCAGTAAAAAGCAGAGACTATTCTGGGTTCTACCTGCACCTCCACACACACACAAAAACAGAAGTCGCCGCCCCAATAAGTGTCAAGCACTCGTAGTGTGTCTTTTAATCCTAGCAAAATTTTCATAGATAGGAATACAGCAATTCAACAGCAGGTAGTGGTCCAGGGTAAAATTACTATTCATGGAAATTTACTAAGGTGTAGGGACTTGGACATGCTGGAGGGTCAGGAGAGTGACAAAGTTGAGGCTCCTAACAAGTAGAAATGTAGTAGAAAGGACTGATATAAGCCTACAATTAGATCTGAAAAAAATTAGATATGATGAAAATGTAGACATGAGAAAATGTAACAAAAAAGTCATAGCTTAGACTTAATGAGAGTGAAGAAAAATCTAGAAACAGAAAGAAGGTGTTAGAAAGGTTGTATTAAAGAAAATACCTAATCATTTCTGTAGTGGGATGGTTTTAAAGAGGTGAGAATCCATGATTCCCCAGGGGACAAAGCAACCCGACTTAGACAGAGGTCCCTAGGGTGAAAGGCAGCGTGCGGCAAGTCTAAGATAATTGTGAAGGGTAAGTCAGGAAAACCATGACTCTGAAACTAAAGCCACTGAGATAAGGGGAGAGAAAAATCAAGAGACTGACTGATAGCAAACAGAAAAGACAGCAATATAAAGAGATTTCTTCCAGAAGAACTGTAGAGGTACATTAGTGATGAAACCAGTATTACTGGTAAACTTCAAGGAAGATCTGGGTAAAAGGTTACTTTCCTTTGTTAACTTATTTTGAATTCAGGGAAAAGAAGAATAACTGACTTTCTTACTCTCAATCATATCCATTATCATTATTATTTAAAACCAGAGTAATGGCCTTTTTTCAAGAATTGAGATGACAGCCATAGTCTCTAACTTCGAGGACGCTTTCCTCCCAGAGAAATCCAAGGCAAAGTACAGATGCAGGGAGAGCATTCACAGGTTTCAACTTCATAAATAAAGTGTAATGCATGATCTCCAAAGCTACTTTCTATATAAACAAGTGGCAAAATGAAACTAACTCAAATTTAAGGAGCATTAATACATAATCCCATGTTTTATTTCCTAAACCTGACATACTTTATTCTAATCTATATTCATAATTTGTAAAGTTACATGATTTTGAAAAATCTTAAAATTAAGGCTATTCTAAGTGAGTTTTCTAGAAAAAAGACAGGTTATAGAAATGCAATACCCAAGTTATCGCCTATTCTGTTGTCTCCCATATACACATACTCATACTACACGGAGCTTTCAACAGCTTCACTTTGCAAAATATTCTTAGGCAACAATGGGCAGTTGATGGAAAAATGTAGAACAAGATTGAGTAGAGTCCATGTAATTTTCCACTTCAGAAAGAAATGGAAAATTACATTTGGCTTTGTTCCATTTTTCCAGTTTTTATGCAGGTATTTAAAACTATCAGTCTCCTAACTTACATTCTCACTCCTTGCTAGGATAAAGTTTGATTTTGTATTTCTATTTATTTACCTTATCCTCATTACTAAATTAATCCAGTTGAATTGATGAAGTTAAGAAAATCTTAATTAATTTTACAGACAGATTTGTTTTGATAAATAATATTACATGTTAGAAGTGGTAACATCTACAAATCAAAGATTCAGCTTAAAGTGGAAGGAACAATTTGGAGAGGGTGTTACGGTTTATATAAAATGTCTCTCTAAAGTCTCATGTGTCCAGAAGTGAGGTTTTGGGGAGGTGACTGGATCATGCGGGCTCTGTACTAATCAGGGGACCAATCCACTAAGGATTTCTCAGACGCATGTGCTGAGAGAAGGTGGGGCCTGGCTGAAGGAGATACTTTGATGGAGGGGTGTGCCCTACAGGGTGTATTCTTTTCTCTGGCTTTTCCTGTCTCCCTCTGCTTTCTGGCTGCCACAGGTTAAGACAGTTTCATCCACCACATTGTATCTGCCTTGGAGACAGCTGGTCATCGACTGAACCCTCTGAAAGCATGAGCAAAAATAAACCTCTCCTCCTTTAAAATGCAATTTAAATTTTTTTAAGTCTCTGGTATTTTGTGCCAGTAATGGAAAGTGACTAATATAGAAAGGAAAGTGTTTTTTTGCAGATCACTGACTTACAAAATCAAATCAGTAATTACAGGGCCAGGGATTTGGCTCAGTGGTTCCGCTGCCTCACAAGCTCAAGGGCCTGAGTTCGATCCCCAGTACCAATAAATAAATGAATAAATGAATGAATGAATGAATAAGACCAGTAATTATAACTCCTCTAGGAAAGGCTTATTTAAAATAATAAATAACAAGTAATAACTTCAAATTTTAAGAGTCATTTGGCTTGGTAAAATTCATTTAAGCACTGGTGTTTAAACATTGATGGAAAAATTTTAATACCCTTTTAGCATTTTGCTTTTAAAAATATATATAACTGAATAAAGAATGAAGTATTTTATCACAAAAAAAAAAACCATCAAGAGATCTATTACAGAGGGTTTGAATGACAGAAGATGAAAGAGAAGTCGTAGCATTTAAGTTTCTCCAGCATACCTTCCACGAACAGTAGTAGATTTGATGATATCCCCAGGTAAAACCACTGTAAGGTCAATGTCTTTATCTAGTATGTTTTCTTTCTGTTCCATGACGAAAGCAGCAGATTCTACAGAATCATCAATTGAAGAGACATCCACATATTTTGTCTCAGATGGAGGAAGTGGTGCCTTTGCTTTTGTTTTTCTCCTAAAATAAAATGCAGAAAATAAAATAAATATTCAAAAAGTAAATTCCTAAATATAATTTTATGAACCACAAATATATATATAATTTTCACATCCCCAAAAATGCACAGTAGTAACTCTTAATTGTTTTTTCTTTTCCAAACCACATTTACTTTGCTTTTTTTTTTTTTTTTTTTTTTA